GGGGTGACCGGGCCAGCAGAGGAGGGTAGTTGGGGGGGACCAGGCCTGCAGGGGAGGACAGTTAGGGGTGACCAAGCCAGCAGGGGAGGGCAGTTAGGGGTGACCAGGCCATCAGGGGAGGGCAGTTAGGGGCAATCAGGCCGGCAGGGGAGCAGTTAGGCATCGATCAGGCTGGCAGGGGAGTGGTTAGTGGGTGATCAGGCTGGCAGACAGAAGTGGTTAGGGGCAATCAGGCAGGCAGGCAGGCAAGCGGTTGGGAGCCAGCAGTCCCAGTGGGATCGGGCCTAAACGGGCAGACATCCCTCAAGGGGTCCCAGATTGAAGAGGGTACAGGCTGGGCTGAGGGACACCCCCCACCCCCCCGTCCGGGCACGAATTTTGCGCACTGGGCCTCTAGTACTTTAATAAAAACGAACCTTTCACATCATTGGGGTATAATAATTTCATAATGTCCCCAAACTCTCAAACATATCCTTTCTGGCCTTTGCAATTTAACTGAAACTGTCTACAGATCCCTACAACGACTTTATGAGGCCAATAACATTTTCCGAATTGGCAGTTATTTTTCCTGAAGTTTCTGTTACTGACACATGCTTGTTATTTCCAAGATTTTGTGTTTTACACTGAGTTTAAGAAGTCCCGAGTTCTTCCTGAAGTCCTCTGAGCTTCCCGGCAAAGCAAAGCGCAGGCTAAAATCCAAAGAATTGCCATATCTCTGCAACTATGATGCTAAAACCATTTTTCTCCTCGAATTCTTTTTTTAAAATATATTTTTATTGATTTCAGAGGGAGAGAGAGAAACATTCATGAGAGACAATCATGGATCAGCTGCCTCCTGCACGCCCCACACTGGGGATGAGCCCAGAACCCGGGCCTGTGCCCAGACCGGGCATTGAACCCTGACCTCCTGGTTCATAGGTTGAGGCTCAACCCTGAGCCACGTTGGCCAGGCTCCTCTAATTCTTTCAAAACCACGAACCACCTCATTGTGTCCCAGGGAGAGACTGAGTCACTTCCGGGGCTGCTTCTGACCTTGACAGCTCAGGAACACCCCAAGGCGGAGCTGACCCCCACAAAAATGGAGACTACGACAGATTACAGGAAATGTGACACATGACTCACAGTTTGAATTCATATTGTTCATGTCTCTTTATTCTGAAATATAAAATTTTTTTAAAAAAATTACAAAAGACACGAGTGTATGTTGTAAAAATTTCACATGGGAGCATACAAAGTAGAAAAGCCCAATTTCTTCGAACCACCCCTCTCAACCCCAATTCCTTTCGCAGAGGTAACAGCCAAAAAGCTTGGGAAAAACACACAGCTTTCCAGAGCTGTTATTTTAAAATACAAATAGTTTTATAGCATTGCTAACATTCTGCTTTTCTACTTAATATGTCTCAGAGTATTCCATAGCACTGCCTCATTCTCTCCTTTTTACCGATTGCATAATACTCTGCAGCACAGTCCCCTCCTGATGGCTGGCTGCCAATTCTGTGACGACCCTTCGGTGCATACTGTTCCCACGAGCACAGGTCTATAGGAGGCCCACAGGGGATGTCCCTGTATACGTCACATTTGCTTTAAGCCTTCTCAGGGAATGTCTTCCTTCGTTTCAATTTCAATGTAATCAAATGCTGCCAGTATAGTTTTCGAAAGAGTATCTTAATTTACCAGAGCGGACATTAAATCCAGTAAGATGAAAGCTCATAGACATAGACCATCGTCTGTACCTTTAAAATCCTCACATCTGCATGTATTCGATGCCTGGCACGTGGTTGACATTGATAAATGTTTGTTGAATAGATAAGGAAAAGCTAACTAGATGTGAGAGGTTTAAAAATAAAGTGTAATAACCCCAAAGTCCCTAAAGTTGGAAATGAGGTCTAAAATTGGTTAGTGAATCAAGATTTAATTTGATGCCAAATTTTGTATCTTTTATCTAGAAGCTAGAAAATACTGCAAGGTTTCTTAATTTGGGGGGAGTTGTAAGATGAATGAAAATTCTTGTTTCTTTACTACTGAAGTCATCTCAAGGAATTCCATAAAATGAAGGGAGAGAGAAAATGTAAGATTAAAGACCAAAGAGCATGGTTCGTTCCCAGGTTTTGGCACTAAAAAAAACAAAACAAAACAACCCCCCCCCCAAAAAAAAAGAGTAACAAGAAAGATTCAAACAGGAAGTTACAGGCACATCTGCATATATCTAGGTTTTATAAAATTACATCAAGTGCCTTTTAATGTAAAAATATTTACACTGAACACCCGCCCCCATCTCTACAGATCACATCCATTTTTAAATTTTTTCCTTTTTTAAAAAAATTTTTTTTGTTTTGTTTGTTAATCCTCACTCGAGGATATTTTGCATTTTTTTTTTTTTTTTTTTTAGGGAGAGTGGAAGAGAAAGGGAGAGACAGAGCGCAACATCGATGTGAGAGAAACACATCGATTGGTTGCCTCCTGCTGGCGCCCTGACCAGGGCCCAGGCCAGGGAGGAGCCTGCAATCAAGGCACGTGCCCTTGACCAGAATCGAATCCAGACCCATTGGTCTGCAGGCCGATGCTCTATCCATTGGGCAACACCAGCCAGGGCCAGGTCACATCCTGGATGGGCAGCCAAGGAAGCAAGAGGTCAGCTTCGCTTGGGCCACTCCTCCAGGCGGCTGGGACCTGGGCAGCGGGGACTGTGGCAATTCTGTCCCTGAAGGTTCAGAGGCACCACGGCTAGCCAAGCACCACAGCAGAACAAAGTCCGAAAGGGGAAGACATTTTGGGTAAAAGGAACAGAGGAAGTATGAATGAACTTGTGAATCTGTTGCAAAGAAAATGATGTCTTTGAATTTCCATGAGAATGTTGCAATTTAATTCTTAAATCTCCTAAAGAGGGACGGGGCTTAGGTAGCAGTGTACCTGACGTGCACGTGCCAGCTGGTGGACCCTTCAGTCAAAGAACATTCACCGAGCGCAGGAGGGCCAGGCCGGTGCTCAGCACTCAGGGTCTCAGTGAGCAGCAAGAGCTGTGACTGCCGAGGCAGGTCACTTCTCCGAAGTGCCAGCAACTGGGGGCCTTTTCCCAACACCA